CACACTCAGGAGCTCATGGAAGACGATTTCAACAGAAGAACTTATTTTTGTGAATAAATGATGGCAATGTTAGACAGCAATGTGATCCAATTAGAACATGTTTTGTTTTCTGATGATAGCACCTTTACTCTTCACGGTCATGCTATCGGCAAAATTGCTGCTGTTGGTCTAGGAAAAATCTTCACTGGATGAGAGAAGGCAATACTTAATACCCTAAGAAGGTTAACGTGTGGGCAGGAATTATTAAAGATCAGATCAGAGGTTCCTTTTTCATAGATGGCAATTTGAATGGCGACAATTATTTAGCATTGCTCCAAAATAGTGTAGTACCAACGTTGGCCAACTTGAATCCTGATCCACGAAACCCACAAGTTCCAGCGAATATGATATGGTTTCACCAAGATGGAGCACCACCCCACTACCAAATCCATGTGCGGCTGTACCCCAACCAAATATTTCCAAATCGGTGGATAGGGAGGCGAGAATCGATGAAATGGCCACCACTATCCCCTCATTTAACGCCATTAGACTTTTTCTTGTGTAGAAAAACAAAGTAGAAATTCAACCAACCGAAAGTAGAGATCCGGTTCTGGCGAGAGAAGATCCAGAACCTGATAATAATGCTCTGAAAGTAATGCTTCCAAACATATGTCCCCTGGTATTTACTACAAATGGTAATATGATAAATGTTGTGTTTTCGGAATTTTCCAATTATGATTATTTAGGCGATCAAGTTCCGATCACATCGACTGCTAGCAATATTGTGATGGATAGCAGTTTTCACCCAGATAAGATAGAAGAAGTCAAACGTAATATTTTTTTTGCACAAAAAACCGATTTCTTCAACACTATTTTACAATGTGCTCGCGTACCCTCAACAAAAGGAACCGGACTCAAAGAAAAAAAGGAAAAAAGAATACACACCAAGTCTTGTCACATCTAATAAGTGGGTGGACTATCATGAAGAATGCGAGAAACTTAAAAATGATAAAGAAAAACAAAAGCAAGAAAGAAAACAGGCTGAGAGCATAACAAACAGATGAAGGCACAAAAAAAGTCGAAAGAATGGAACAATGACGTTTGCAGTATAGATAAAGGCGATATTTTGGGACAACTACCCGAGCCTATTGTCCAGGAATAATGAAGAAAATTTAAGACTATTTTTCCAGGACAATTAGACATTTATGAATATTAAGTACTATTTATAAAGTTTTAATTATTATTTTCAATACTTTTTACTTATTTGTGTTACCATAATTTACTTTGTTTTACCTATTTTTGCAGTTCAATAAATATTTAAGCACAAATATCAACTTGTATCTCTATTTTTATCTAGTTCTTGGGTGGCCTAAAGTGAGGAAAGTGTATGGCCAAAAGTAAAAACACATGGCCAATAGTAGGTATTGTTGTTGTTCAAAATATAAAACATAATAATTTTATTATGAATTGAATCTTTATGATCAGTTGATCTCCTAGTAGAGCAGATTCGAAAGTAAAAATTTCGTTAAACGGAAAGACTTTCTTCAAATCCTACGTATTTCTCAATAGAAAAATGATAAAGAAAGTTCTTAAAGTGGCCATAAGTGGTGCATCTGCCCTACCAGATCTGAAACATTTTCCACTGTTTTATTTACCTTTTTATCTGTCACGTATGTTGAGGTTGGCCAACTGTTCTGATACAGAATTGTTACAATTGTTAGTTTTGAGTTTGTAGTCATTTCATACTCAATTTTTTGAAGTAAAATAAGAAGAAGCCATGCTAGTCTACTATATTATTAAACTTAATTTAAATGTCTATATGTAGTAAATCTTGTAATCTTTTATATTTTTATACAATGCAATGGAGTACCATGTAACCAAGTCAATATATAACTAAAAATAAAGAATGAATATTTTTTATATAGGTACATTATGTTTATCTGGATGTAAATTTAGTATCAAATGATTTAAAATATTTAAAGACTATTTACTGTACATCTAGATAATTAATTACTAAAAACTATAAAGCAATTATTATGTTCAGTCGAATTAACAGTTTGTGCTTATGAACTAAGTGACAACAATTATTACGAAATATATCAAAACAAAGTAAAGAGGACACGGTATTTACAAACTATTTAACTATTCACGGTCACAGATAAAATAACAACAACTGTTACTTTTTAATTAAAACGTGACGAGAAGTAATTGCAATAAACATTTTTCAAAGTCAAAGGGTATAATTATGCTCAGGTATTTTTTCATTAAAAAAATTAGGGTGAACGGATATATGCCTAATTGCTTTAAGAAACATATCTTCTTTTAATACTTAATTTTAATTACCTTATTTACTTAAACTTATGAACAACTCTTTAACTCAAGAGGACACAAGTTTTTTACTGGAGGAGATTGGAACGCTAAGCATACCAATTTTCTTTTTCTTCTCGTAGCACTACAACCCGGAGTGGGTCTTGGCTGACTGCACAACTTGCTTCCATCTTGAACGGTCGTCCATAATAGTTGGGTCAGTGGTAACCCCGTTGTTCTTAGATCTAACCATATTATTGTCTCTCCATCGCATTCCTGGACGTCCTAAGGGTTATTAGGGAGTCTATGGACAGCCTATCTTAGACATTGGGATTTAATCTCTTGGACTATGTCGCTCGCTCTATACATCTGTTTGACCTCAGCATTTGTTCTAATTCGGTATTGGTTGCTATTAATGTCGTGATAAGGCCCAAAGATTCTTCTGAGTATTTTCCTCTTAAAACATCTAAGTTTTTTTCAGTTTCTTTGGTCAGGGTCCGCTCATGAGTACCGCTCTAATCACCTTTTTATATATTCTAATCTTTAATGTTCGTGTTAGGCTTTTAGATTTAATAGTATTGTGGAGGCTGTACATACATCTGTTTGCTGCCTGAATTATTCCTTTAATCTTTTCGCGATATCGTTATTTGCAGTGATTGTTGCTCCGAGATATTTAAAACTCTCCACTCTTTCAAAGCTATATGGGTCTATTGTAACATTTTGCCCGATTCTATCGCGTTCCTTTTGTCTGTTGATGCACATGTATCTGGTTTTCTGTTCGTTTACCCTTGAACCAGTTTTCTTTGCCTCTACCTCCAATTTATTAAAAGTCTCCTTCACATTGATGACTGTGTTTCCCACAATGACAATGTCATCTGCGTATGCTAGTAGTAATTTTGGTCCATTTACTGTCAGTAATTCTGTTTTAAGTTGTGCTACTTTACTACTTTCTCCAGAATGATATTAAAAAGGAGAGGTGACAGCGCATCTCCTTGTTTCAGGCCACTGCTTATTTCGAAAGGTTCTAAGAGTTTGTTACCTATCCGAACTCTGAATCTACAGCTATTCACACATAACTTAACAAGCTGGATAAGTTTATTTGGAACTGAAAGTTCTGCCATTGTATTCCACCTCTGATCCCTTTTAATGCCATGAAGAGATTATGGATAGTTCTATTGAATTCCCATTCTTTTGCAAGCAGCTGTCTTAGAGTAAAGGTCTGATTTATGGTCGATCTGTGTTTTCTGAAGCCAGCTTGGTATTCCCTTATGAAATTTTCTACAAACTGTGTCATCCTACTTAATAGGATGTTCGATAAAATTTTATATGCCGTATTAGTAGGGAGATGCCTCTATAATTAGAGCACTTGGTTTTGTCGTCCTTTTTATGGATGGAGATTATTACACTTACGTGCCATTTTGTTAGTATTTTCTCTTCGTTACATATAAGTGTTATTAGTTTGTTTATTTGTCTATGTAGAGTTTCTCTTCCGTACTTAAGGAATTCAAGCAGTATATTGTCAGAGCCTGGAGCTTTTCCCTTCTTCAATTTGTTAATTGCTTGCAATGTTTCATTTATTTTGGGGTCCTCTACCGGTAGGTTCATCCCAAAACATATATTTTCTTCACGTTCTTATTCTTGCTGTATGTTTAGTAAGGTCTTGAAATATTCTTGCTATGTTTGAAGCAGTTGTTTTTAAATTATTATTAATTCATCATTTTTTCTGAGAACAGACACGCATCTAGGTCTGAAGCACAGAAATATAACACTAAAGATATAAATCTACTTAAAATGGAGACCTAATCTGCTGATCCCCTGATCCCTACAAATAGCCAGATTTATTATACTTTTTCGTCGTCAACAATATACCATCTAGCGTGGCACAAATTTGATTTGAATGTTTTAAATCGACTTAAGTTTGACTTTAAATTAAGTCAAACTTAAGTCAATGCTTCTGACAAATAATTTAAGATAAATCAAACTGGACAATGGTTACAAGCTTGACAGTTTAAACTACTTTTAAAGAGTTTGAAAGATAATTTATTTTGATAATATACAAGGCAAATATCGAGCACAGTATTAATTTAATCTTGTCCAATTACTTTCGATCACTAGATCATCTTCAGGGGCATTTCGTCAATTGCGACCTATCCGACAAGAGTAGAATGTCATAAATATAAAATGGAACATCACAATACACTACACAAAGACAAACAAACACTTTAAAATTTTGAAAATAGGCGAAGCTACATGGTGTATAGAAGCCGGAGACAGAATCATTCTGAACACTGAATAAGGAGATACTGAAGGAGGAGAGATGGGAAAAAAGAAGAGGACTTCCAAAGAAGAAATGGTTGGAAGCAGTAAGGCAAGACTTGTCAGAAATAGGCGTGAGAAATTGGAGATAAAGAAAGTAAGGTACAGAAAAGAATGGAGGGAAATAACCAAGATTTTAGAAGCTATGGTCCTACAAAGCCTGTAGCGCTATTATATATATTCAACTAAAAAAGTTCAGTCTTGATTATTGTTTCAGAAATATTTTACATCAAACTTAACGCCATCACTTGACACATATTAAATTTTGCTATTAAATTATGCGTTCAGTTTACTAGAAACCATTTATTTAGCTAATAACATGTTCTGATAATTTTCGTGATTCGCTAATAGTAAAACTTTCAAATGATCAAGTGAGTAATTTCTGCTTTCGTTTTCAGGACTATGTGAGGTGGAAAAGGGGGCATCTAATATAATTCTAGATATAGAAGAAAGTAGAGGAACATGTAAGTATATCACTTTTTGTTTCCAATGATTAATCATTACGACTGTAAAGCGTATACTGCGTGTTTTACCGATAACTAATAATGGCAACGATTATATGAAAACCAGGTCAGCGATATAATGCATGTAGTTAAAATAAATTAATAGAGGGCTTCTTTATTATTTATGTTAGGTTATTAAACAAAAATATTCTAATACTCTAAAGCTAAAACGTTACAAAGCTTAATAAATTCTTGAATATTGGTGCTGTGATTATATCGAAATTTGCTGCTTGCTTTTAGGCGAAGACTTTTAGGGTTTTAAAGTTGGTTGAGATATATTTTTTTTCTTCACTCCCTACTGCAGGGGTTACCAATTATATTCCCTAAGGATCCGTTTTGAAAACCTACTACACTTCCGCACTCAGGACACTCAGCACAAAACCAGGCAGTGGCGTAACCGGGGGGTTACCCAGAAACCTTCCAGTAGTTGCAACCCCCCTCAGGAGATCATCCGGTTTACGTAGTTGAAACCAGGCAACTAGGCCACCTCGTTTAGGGAGGAGTATGAAATAAACTCAAGGAAAAATATGATTATAAAGCTATTGTATTTTTTTTTTCGTCTTTGTTTAATAAATTTTTGTGGCGTAATTTGAAATTTTTGTATCTTAGAACTGCCATTGTTTGTGAGTTGTTTTATACTGCATATACTGCTTTTATACTTAATTATATATGTATGAAAAAGCAAACTATTATCTCATTGTTTCTCATCATGTATCTCAAACATAGTACACAGTTTCATTGCCAAAGATTTTAGTTCTGGATATATTTTGTCACACACATATTTAATCCAAAATTTGTCCCAGGTACGCGTTTCTGGAACTTGAGTATAAACCTCCTTTAAAACAGAATTTTCCGGATACTCGATTATTTCCATCTAAAGGGCAGCTTTGTTACTCTTAAAATCATCTGCTGGTCCATACACCATTAGGCTTGAGCGAAAAACTGTTGCTTAATAGTTGCACAACATTTTCAATTTTGTGGAAATCAGCAAATCGTTGTTTTAAATTCCAAATCAAGTTCATTAATAAAACGTGAGAACTGGGTAACATCAAAATCTTTATCACTGGAAATGCAAAAGTTCTGCCTTAATATCCTGAGAAAAAAGTTCAATAATTTAAGAAAAACTCCTAATATCCGACAGAAGTTCACAAACAAGTGTTCCTTTGCATTGTAGTTTTAAATTCAAGAAGTTCAGATGTCTGAAGATATCCGCCAAAAATGCGATAGTTTCAAAATGCTCTGTATCCAAGAGGATCTCCAAATTTGTAGCTTTATTATCAATAGTGGACAGAAATTATTTTATGTTATCATATTGCACAGAATCTTTCAAACACTAAACTTTTGCTCAGCCATCTCACGTTGTTATAAAGAAGCAAATCGTCAAACTGATCATTAGTGTCTTTTAGGAATGATTTGAATTGACGATACCTCAAAGATGATTTTGCACGCATAAAGTTCATGACGGTTTTAATTTACTCTGAAGATTTGGATTTAAACTGCAATACAACACACTTTGATGAATAATATGGACGACCTCAGTGCAAAAGGTAATATGTCAAATTACTTGGTTTTGAGAAAACGAAAAAAACGATTCTTGGGTTTTTTTTCAAATGTATTTTTTTTTATATTTTTTTCAGAAAACGAAACAAATAGTGGTTATTATTGTACTTTAAAAAATTTTATAGCTAAACTTTCAATTAAGTCAAATTTCTTGACTTGTTACAAAATGCACAATATTTTCCTTACTTGTTACCAATTACACAGACTTACTCAGGTACTTTTTCTTTTTTTTAGCAGCTTCAAGGCACAAAAATACATTAAATTTATTACAAAAACTTTATTAATAAAAAAGTTATATCTAACATGTATGTTTTTATAAAAAATGGTAAATAAAAAAATGCTAGTCCTCTTCGTCACTTATTAAAGGATCGAGCAAGACACCTTGGGTTGGTAGATCTTGATCAAATTTATAATACACCGGCGAGAGGTACAGAAATACTTACAAAATGTCTCTTTGTTTTTTCAATGATAGTGGCAGTGGTTGTTGGTAAGCCTGTTTTTTTTTTTGTAAATGATAATTCTGTTTGCAACAGGTTTTTGACCTGTGCATGAGTCGCTATTTTTTTTCTATTTGGTGGAGTCCATGGAACACACAAGAAGCAATCTCGTTACCTCCTCTTTTTGCCATATTCTCATACCACAGAAAACATAAAGGTGACTCCTTCATGTTGTGTTTTCATTTGTGTATTGTCAGATTAAATGTTCATAATTTGTCGTTTACAGAAGGCCCTGATGTTTGCACAAGTGAAGTTCCCCAAGCACGCTTGTAAATCAAATGCAATTGAAGTAAAGTTTGGGTTATTCTGACTCTGCTGCTTGTCTGCCAACTTCATTGCATAAGTTAATAAAGCTTTCATGTGATGATTCTTCCTACTTTCCAGTAACAATTCCTTCTCGATAGCTTGAGCGTATACAAATTTTAGTTTAATTTCATCACGTGCATGAGAAGTACCCTTTTTAGGATTTTTATTTTTATTTCGGAGTTACGAAAGGCGTTGCCATAAATAGTTAAACTGACTGGGTCATCTAGTTCCTGTTTATATTTACTGTAAACTTCCTCCGGCGTGTAGTAAGGTGGCAAATATTTTTTAGTAGTCTCTTTACGACAGTAATGACTCTCATATGCTGGAAGAGATGCAAGGTGCTAATGAACCAAAGCCATTCTGTCTGTGGATATTTTATTTCCAAGGATGTGCTTGCCTCGTTCATCTGGGGTGGTTTTTGAAGCATGGAAAGCCTGTTTTTGTTGGACAATGGTCCATACAAACTTTACTGCTCTCGCCAAATATTGTGATAAAACAGCTCTTACAGACATCGATCCTTTGGCCCTGAATCGGAATATTGTAATGAACTAAAGCTGTTCTTTTCTTCTGGTTTTTAGCGTATTTTGTCGCGTCCTTTAACCCTGGTTCAGATTATCATCTTTACTTACGAAACCGCACAGATAGGCTACCATTCGGTAACGTGTCTTTAAATTCCAATAGGCAGTGAAAATATTTTTTTTATTTTTAAGTGAATTTCCTCACTGCACTTTCTTCTGCAAGAAGGCAGTGGTAGCTATATTTGGCCCAGCAACTTTCATACCTTGCCCCATAAAAATACGCTAATTCTTGATTTCGGGATAACTTTCTTTTTTTCTTTCTTCTCTAGTATCACCTTTTGAGCCTCTCTTTTTAACTTTTTCTTGGGGATGATTTTCCTCTGCATTTATTACATTATTGACAATCTGAGGAAGTAAGACTTAAGCAAAAACGTAACCTTTAACAATACGTAACCTTTGCATTGTACCAAGCACATGTTCATAGCACACTTCCACCAAGGTTGAATTAATTTATGCACATGTCATTGAGGACAGGGTTGCCAGAATAGTAGTGTCTTAAACAAGGACGGACAAAAGATACCAAACCAAATCAAAATGTACTGTTACTAACTGGAAACATGACATCCAGACAGTGTTTGGTGAATTCAAATACTGCAAAGGAGGTAACAAGTCCACTTTTTTCCTTTTGCACAAATGAAGTTTTTCATATTATTTAACTTATTACGTTCTACACGTAAAAAAATGTAGCCCTTCAGTGGTGGTAGACTTGTTTCTTTTTGCACAGAGTTAGACATAATACTTTATTTTAAAATATTAAAATACTTCAAATGGCCTGATTTACATAAAAAATTTTCAGGTTTCTTTTTTTGTTGACAATTCTATTTATACCAGAGCAAATAGGTATATTTTCATCCAAATTACTTTGTTCCTTGCTATCACTATCATCAGACTGGGACTGACGACGTCTAGGAATATACTCATTATCGGAATGTAAACCTAAATCGTCTTCACTTAGTTTTTCATCACCAAGAATACAGTAATGTATTTAAATGAGCATAAAACTTCCCAGGATACATTCTGAAAACACAAATCAAATGATATTTTTTTCTAAAAACGGTATAAATGAAATTAAAATTGAATGCATCGAAACCATTTATGGATTTTACAGATTTTTTAGACAGAATGCATTACAAAAACCATATACAGATTGAACCAAATTAAAACGGAACATACAATTTAATACATGTCTGTTTGAACTGCATTTAAAATAGTGGACCAATATAAAACTTGGACAAAAATAAATCCATACCTGGGTATAGACATTGTATAAAATATCGTTCAACTATCTGTCTCGCAACAAAGTTGTTTGCGTAAGACGGGTTTGTCTAAGGAGGCGATAATAGTTCAGGAATTGAAGCTCGAAAAAAGTTAAAACCTCGCAATTTTTTCGTCCTGCATGTATCCAGTTGAAATTTTAGCAGAAGGTAGGTAATAGCCCAAGGATCAAAATTTATATCGAACCGAAGTGCGTTGAAGGGTTTTAGGGGTGAAAACTACCCCTAATTGTCAAAAATTATAAAATAACATATTAAACCTGAATATGGGTAAGATTTGGTTTGAATTAATTAAATAATGATTATTTTATACTTTTGAATAGAGTTCCATCATATTTCAACCCTTAAAAAGCAACCCTTGTTAGAGATTAATGTAAAAAATTACTAATTCTAAAAAAAATGATTTCGCCTTGGATCGATTTGGATAAAAATTTGGATTTAAGCTCAATTCACCCGCTGCTTTATAGTTTATGTCATGTCGACGAACCCTGATTGTTCTTAGGGGTGAAAACTACCCCTAATTGTCAAAAATTATAAAATAACATATTAAACCTGAATATGGGTAAAATTTGGTTTGAATTAATTAAATAATGATAGTTTCGTGCTTTTCAATAAAGTTCCATCATATTTCAACCCTTAAAAAGCGACCCTCATTAGAGATTAATATAAAAAAATTAGTAATGCGAAGAAAATGATTTCACCTTGGAACGACTTGCATAAAAATTTGGAATTAAGCTCAACTCACC